GAACCATACGCTGTGTCTTGGCAAAATACAGGTGGCTGCTTCAAATGTGCTCTCATATTATGGTGGGCAGCCGTGTCATTCAGGTCCCTCCTAAGCGCTTGTCCCTAGAGGTGTAGCTCCCAGGGGCTGCCTTTCATTTCCTTTAGATAGGGCTGCATGGAAAACTGTTCAGGAGGTGATTTCAGGCCAGATGGTCTGTCTCTGCTGCTGAACTACATTTTCATTTCTGCAGCACCAAATAGTCATCTCTAGATTACTTGTGTTGCTTTCAACTGCGAGGCCTACGATGAATCACTTAATAAAGACAGTAATTGTTCTACAAAAACTATATTATAATTACAGTATCAGTGCAATAAGTAATGTTTCCATTTTAAATGCTCTCCGGTCGATGACTACAGATTGCTCACTGTGTTTCATCTTTCATTGCCATTTTCTTTTTTAAGAAGTATCTAGCTTTATCTAGTATTCTGTAGGGGTGGAGAAGCAGACACTGTGCCCAAACTGACCTGGTATCCGGGCTAGCCAAGAAGTAGGATGCTGTGTATCACATTCTCTGATATGATGGAGTTAATATCTAATGAAATTTCCCTTTTTTATTTTTTTTCTGTGGCTTGAGTTTCTAAGCAAAGTTCACACAGCCTGTTCCCGTTCTTTGCAGTGTTTACATACTGGAAGCCAATTCTTTCACTGGGAAATTTTATGTATAAGCATGTAAGAGCAAGCATCTACAGGAATAGGGGAGGTTACTTTCAACTACGGAAAGAGCATCAAGAGTTGGGATCATTTGACCTACCTGTTTATCTTAAACACGCTAAGTAGAGCATGGTCCCGTGTCCTTATATTACTAATTTTCTTCCAGAGGATGTAATACTATTGAGAGCCAAACTCCTATGCACACCAGCTGCAGCATCATGTGGTGACAGGACTGGGTAAACCACTACCTCTGTGCCTATGCACAGAGTCAAAGCCTTATTCTCCATTTCCTTTGTTAGCAGCTGCATCTTCAGTGATGCGAAATAAGATTTCATCTCCCAGCTGAGATGCTTCTGAAAAGCGAAGTCTATCTATTTAGGATTTCTTTTCATTATAAAGGAGAAACCATTACTGTGTCTTCTAAAATCTTGAAATGGTTTGTTTTCAGCTGAACTGATGGGATATTCTCTGTGCAGGGACAGGAATTAGACCCTGACGAAATGGAGACTTATCCCAGTATCCTCTCCCAAGAGGTATTTTTGTCACCGCATCATCTGCACAAATATGTAGTAATTTGTGTTACATGAGTGCAAGAAAATCCCTAACTATTGGAAACTGTATCTGAAGCATCCGTTGTTGGTAAACGGTAACAAGTTACAGAAAACAGGTCTTTAATTGGAGGATTAGTCTCTTGACTCTGATGAATAAGTTTCTCTACTTAGCTCTATTTGTCTCTTAATTTGGTGTATTATTTTAACCTCTAAGATTTTTACCCTTGTCTGTGGCTTTGTAATAACATTTGTAAAATATTAAACATATATTATTAAATAAATATTAATAGAGTTCTGTTGCCTTGAGCTAGAAGCTGACAGATGAGTTCAAAATATGAATGCATCTTGAATCTTAGAAACAATGCTGTATTTTCTCATCAAGCGAGTATTTTCTTGCAAAGCTATTTATTTGCCCCAGAAGAAAATAAAGGCAGGCTGGTTGATGCAAGACTTGACAGCATTCTTTTTCAGCAGCTTGGTCACTTTATCAGGTATTTTAAGGATTCATTTGCTGTGCCCCAGAATCATTAGGGCATCATGTTAGGATGAGTAATGCTTCTTTTTGGTTTATGTTCTATCATTCCCAATTGAAGTGTGCTTTTAAGGGGCCAGATTGCATTTGGAGGGCAAACTGGAATCACATTGCTTATCCAAGAGACCAAACAGGAACTGTGTTGGTATCTGCGTTATAGCGGAAACAAAATGTGAGTGTAAGGCTGGCGTTTCTCACCGTTACTTGGGCTCTGCTTCTCGGTTGTGCTTGTACAAGCACTACTTGTAGTTACGGAAGACCCTACAAATTCTCTGCAATCAATTAGATGCATTCAATTAGGTCCTGCATTAAATAGTTCAAGTCTAATTTTCAGTAGGCTTCTTAAAGGCCTATTCCAATTCCTACTGAAGTCAGCGGAAGATTTTCTACCAAGAGGAAGCCTGTAGCAACCATTTTGTCTTTTAAAGCAGCCTACGTCTTTGATAAAGCTTCCAAATATCTGTTACCACGAAGTTGTTTGTAACACTTTTAGGGATGCCTGAACAAATATTCAGTGATTTGCCTCAGGTCACAGACTAAGTCATCATCAGAGTCAAGGGTATGTAAGCCCAGCCTTTGACTTAGAGTAATTATGTATGTCACAAAGACTTTGTGCTTGCAGTTGAATTTGTGTTCACAGGGATATAATGGCCCTGTTAAATGGGTAAGAGGAGATTTTGTTAGAAGGTAATAGCTCTTTAAGGGAAAAGGAATGGATCTTGCTCCCACTAAATCAGCTGACCCAGGAGGAAAATTGTATTTATATTTCAGACTGAGTATGGCACACTACTTTTATACAGTATTTTGCCATAGTGAAATTAGTCGTATTTGCAATAAAATAACATTATAATAAATATGTCTGCTTCGTTTCCTGTTAGTCTGGCAGTTTGTTTATCGAACTTAGGTGAAGCTGATGCTTTTGCTGTAGGTGGAGAACTAGAGTAATGTAGTTTATGAACAGAGATGCAGAAATGAGTTATTTGACCAGAAAATAGTCCCGGTGTTCTTTGGGGTGTTGTCCATATGATAGGGTCCCCCTGTTGCAGAGCAAGCAGATGTGAAGTCTGTCATGCTTCTCCCTGGTCTATTTTTTCTCAAATTCCAGAGGTGACTTCCATATTTTTTTTTGTTTGTTTTAGGGTGGGTTTATTTGGGGGGTGGTTTTTTTTTTTAAGGTGCTTTTGGCTCTAACTGTCTGTCTTGTATTTTCTTTTCATATGGTGCGTAGAAGCCTATTGCTGGCTTACATGTCGAGTCATTTCCAATCCAAAGTGTTTGTGTATCCCAACTGTTACTCACCTGAGATCTCTTTCTTATAATATGACCTTGCAAGAGTGTTCTTTTTGATAATCACAAGCAAGTGCAAATGTTTACATTTGCCCCCAAATCTCCATATTTATCTGAAAACATTTTGGAATTTTTCCTCTTTTTTTTCCCTAGAAATTTCAAGCAATTTTACCTGTCAGTGTTTCTAATACAGGCCATTAATTATATGAAATTATGAATATATTACATGTAAACA